TATTTCCATATAACATGGCCAAGTCAGTCAACTGTTTCATGTCGCGGTGAATGTCGTTCGCGATGCAGCTCTCGAAATAACGTTTAGAAATGTCTATTTTACCTATGTAGCGGTAATTGTTTGCTAAGACTTGATAAGAATCGAACAGGCCTTGTTTGTTGCCAATATCCTTGAAAATATGGGCGCTTTTTTCGCAGTACTCGATAGATTGCTTGAAATTTCCCATCCCAGTATACGCAATCCCTGTGTTATGTAGGGCCCTGGCCTCTTCAAGTTTGTTCCCTGTTTTTTTGAATATTTTTAAAGCTTCTTGACACAATTCTATGGCTTGTTCATGCTTTTTTATTTCATTGTGGAATTCTCCCATGTTCCCATAGGCATTGCCCAACATCGTTTCATAGTCAACTTCCAAAGGATTTTTGTTTCTCAGCCTTAACAAAATCTCCAAACCATTCTCGTAATATGGCATGGCCTCTTCATACTTACCAAGGCTTCTAAATATAGTTCCAACCGAAACAAGGCAATTACCTTGGCCCAACTGTCCCCTTTCTCCTGGCAGGCGCTTAAATGCAGCTATAGCATCATTGGTCGTTTTTAGAGCTTTTTCGTACTCGGCACCCGATGAATAACAGAAACCTAAACTCTCCAAAATACCAGCTTTGACAAATTGATCTGCCACACCAGCACCCAACTCCCTGGCTTTTTCTAAGTACAGTTTTGCCATGACAATATTTTCCTCAGAACGCATTTCTTCTCCTTTAAGAAATAGATACAATACTTTGTTCTTCTTTGCTGTCGGACTGTTGGGAGATTCAATTTTCATTGTATCCAAGAGAAACTTCAGGTACATCTAAAATAATGACCACGAACATTTTATCATTAAAACTGTACACAGCAATTTGTTTTTATAGATCAATGAAGGGCTGTATATTTAACAGTTATTATACGAACTCGAGTCGTATATGAACTGATAGCCGACGAGGCGCATAGCGCCGAGTTGGCTATAAAGCCCATACGAAGAGAGTGAGTGTTTTATTATATAGACAACTACATGCTTCACCGACTCAGTTTCGCTGTATATTTCGACCTTTTCTTAACAATTATGCCAATGAATATACTCTTCGTGTCTTTGTCGTCGTCTTTTCAGCATCAACTATTTCAAAAAATATTCTTTTTGACCAGTTTAAATATTAAGTATTTATTTTAAAATATTAAGACAATTGCTTTAATTTAAGTGTTTTCATAGTATTTTTATACATTTTACGGCTAAAAAGTCGAAACACTCGCTGTTTCCCTATTCGAAATTCTTGGTTATATTTTTCGCCGCTATCTTGATTTCTCTACTAACAGGATATGAGCTAATATACTGCTGATTGAAAACCAATTATATTGTAGCATAGCGCATATCCGACGCTTATCCATATAATAAATGGCAGTATATTGATTGATTGATTGGTTTATTAAAAAAATTACATAGCAGCTAAAAAGCTGAATTGCGTAATGAAGAAGTTATTTACAAAAATGTTATATTATTATCAATATTACTAAATTTAAAAACAACTAACTGTCAGTATCATCTAAAAGTTTTTCTGCGTTCTTCCTAATGCAACTCGGTACGATAAAAGTGTCTCGGAACCTATTTGTTCGATATTTCGGCAAATCAAACATCCTAGGATGCCGTAAGTTATATTTAGTATTTTCGCAACGTTCTGGTAAAAGATCATAAAGTTTATGATGCGGGTCTTTGAGAATGTTTTCAAACAGGTTAGAACACAATTTGTCGTGATGGGTTCCAAGACCATCCACGTTAAGAATTTTACACGCGTCTTTATAAGGATAAGAGGGGAAAATAATTGATAGTGCACTTTTCTGTATACGTTCCAAATCGACTAAGAGATATTGTGGTAAGGAATAGTAAACTATCCAAACTGGCCATTCTTCCACGGATCACTGATTAAGTATTGGGGAAAAGGAAGATCCATTGTTTCATTCGAAACATGGAGGTAGGATCCGCAGCGGAAGGCCAGCAAAGACAGCCGACAAAGGGGGTGGGAGGGTGATTGCCTTAAACCACGCGTCACAAAATGATATTCCCATCCCCACCCCCACCCTTCCATCCCACCATAGCTAACAATCTACTGTAATCTCTTCACTCGAACACTCCTTCCCCGTGGCGACCAGCACAAAACAAGCTGTATTACAGAAAATCCTACCTTTTATGTATTTCCCTTCATTAATTATTCAATAAGCATGCCCCTTACACATATTTTAACACTTAATCAGTTCCCGCGGAATATTTTGCCAGTTTGAATAGTAAAATATCCAAACTGGCCATTCTTCCACGGATCACTGATTAAGTATTGGGGAAAAAGGAAGATCCATTGTTTCATTCGAGATATGGAGGTAGGATCCGCAGCGGAAGGCCAGCAAAGACAGCCGACAAATGGGGTGGGAGGGTGGGTGCCTTTAACCACGCGTCACAAAATGATATTCCCATCCCCACCCCCACCCCTCCATCCCACCATAGCTAACAATCTACTGTAATCTCTTCACTCGAACACTCCTTCCCCGTGGCGATCAGCACAAAACAAGCTGTATTACAGAAAATCCTACCTTTTATGTATTTCCCTTCATTAATTATTCAATAAGCATGCCCCTTACACATATTTTAACACTTAATCAGTTCCCGCGGAATATTTTGCCAGTTTGAATAGTAAAATATCCAAACTGGCCATTCTTCCACGGATCACTGATTAAGTATTGAGGAAAAAGGAAGATCCATTGTTTCATTCGAAACAGGGAGGTAGGTTCCTACACGGAATTAAGCACTGCTTCATAACTCTTCCCCTTCATCTACTTCCTCCAATTCCCCATACTCACGCTCCCTCGCTCTACTCAACATTCCATCCACTTATTCCCCATATTCAAACTCTCCAATACTCAAACTCCCCATACTCAAACACCCCATACTCAAATTCCGATATTCCAATGTTTCAAATAATCCCAAATCTTAATAACATTGTATGACACACAATATAAACACGCCTAGGATGTCAATGGTGGAAAGGCGAGGACAAACGTGTTAACAGCGCTAAGGTACTTATACAATTGCGGAACAGCTGGCATTCAAAATTGTCACACACAGACCCCGTTATCGCTCCCACCCATAATATCCGATCTGTTTGAAAACTCCGTCGTTAACCGATCCCCAACCTTTTTCCTGCGCGCACAAAACATTGCTGGATCTCTTGAGTAGATAGAACGACGAATATGCCACCACAGGCTTGAACGAAAATCCTATGCCACACAGGCCGTATGCCACACAGGCGTAAACTAATACTTATGCCACACAGGCGTGAACTAAAATCTTATGCCACACAGGCGTGAACTAAAATCCTATGCCACACAGGCTTTATGCCACACAGGCTTGAACTAAAATCTTATGCCACACAGGCTGTATGCCACACAGGCGTTAACTAAAATCCTATGCCACACAGGCTTTATGCCACACAGGCTTGAACGACTAGAATCTTATGCCATATATACAGGCGTACAATAACATCTGATGTTAGGCCACTCATGATTGAACTAGGCTACCATGCCACACAGGCGTTATGCCACACAGGCTTGACCAAAAACTTATGCCACACAGGCTTGAACAAAATCCTATGCCACACAGGCTTGATGCCACACAGGCTTGAACTAAAATCGTACGCCACACAGGCTTTATGCCACACAGGCTTGAACTAAAATCCTATGCCACACAGGCTTGAACGAAAATCCTATGCCACACAGGCTTTTGCCACACAGGCTTTAACTAAAATTTTACGCCACACAGGCTTTATGCCATACAGGCTGGAAATAAAAGCTTATGCCACACAGGCTTGAACTAAAATCAGATGCCACACAGGCTTTTTGCCACACATGCGTGAACTAAAATCCTATGCCACACAGGCTTTATGCCACACAGGCTGGAAATAAAATCCTATGCCACACAGGCTTTTACCACACAGGCTATAACGAAAATTTTACGCCACACAGGCTTTATGCCATACAGGCTTGAACAAAATCTGATGCCATACAGGCTTGAACTAAAATCTGATGCCACACAGGCTTGAACTAAATCCTATGCCACACAGGCTTGAACGAAAATCCTATGCCACACAGGCTTTTGCCACACAGGCTTTAACTAAAATTTTACGCCACACAGGCTTTATGCCATACAGGCTGGAAATAAAAGCTTATGCCACACAGGCTTGAACTAAAATCAGATGCCACACAGGCTTTTTGCCACACATGCGTGAACTAAAATCCTATGCCACACAGGCTTTATGCCACACAGGCTGGAAATAAAATCCTATGCCACACAGGCTTTTACCACACAGGCTATAACGAAAATTTTACGCCACACAGGCTTTATGCCATACAGGCTTGAACAAAATCTGATGCCATACAGGCTTGAACTAAAATCTGATGCCACACAGGCTTGAACTAAATCCTATGCCACACAGGCTTGAACGAAAATCCTATGCCACACAGGCTTTTGCCACACAGGCTTTAACTAAAATTTTACGCCACACAGGCTTTATGCCACACATGCGTGAACTAAAATCCTATGCCACACAGGCTTTATGCCACACAGGCTTGAACTAAATCCTATGCCACACAGGCTCGAACGAAAATTCTATGCCACACAGGCTTTTGCCACACAGGCTTTAAGGAAAATTTTACGCCACACAGGCTTTATGCCATACAGGCTTAACTTGAACAAAATCTTATGCCACACAGGCTTTATGCCACACAGGCGTGAACTAAAATCCTATGCCACACAGGCTTTATGCCACACAGGCTTGAACTAAAATCTTATGCCACACAGGCGTTAACGAAAATCCTATGCCACACAGGCTTGTACTAAAATCTTACGCCACACAGGCTTTATGCCAAACAGGCTTGAACTAAATGCGATGCCACACAGGCTTGAATTAAATGTTACGCCACACAGGCGTGAACTGAAATCCTAAGCCACACAGGCGTAAGTAATGATCGAATGCCACAATTGGCGGCAGTGAAAGCTATAAAAATGACGGCCAGACAGACAAAGTAGGGCTATAATGTCCAACTAGATGCCCCACTCAGATGAAAACTACAGTATAAGGACGATAATCTTTTCTACCGACGTGCCACGTACAAATAACATAAAGTAAACCACGCACAAGTAAAGCGTGACTAATTTAACAGAAACTGAACAATAAACAGACCCGAAGCATTTTATGCCTGCTACGTACGAGGGCTTTAATTAATAACGCGATGAAGTTCGTCCACGATACCAATGATCGAGTCACATATACCCGACAAATAACGTAAGTGGGGAAGCAAAACCCGTCCGAATAAGTAAAATAGATATCGAGACAAAACACAAAAGCAAATAGCACTTAACAAATCACGTCCGAGCAGGACCAGCAACGTCTAGATCAACATGAACCTGTTGAAGGACGACAGCCACGATTTGATTGAGCAACTTCTGGCGCTAACACATGAACCGGCGCCCAAACAGGTCGCTAGCTGAGCCAGAAGTCACGAGCAGCGAAAGCGGGGTTATAAAATATCTCTTTACTCGAACACTTCTCCCCGTGGCGATCAGCACAAAACAAGCTGTATTACAGAAAATCCTACCTTTTATGTATTTCCCTTCATTAATTATTCAATAAGCATGCGCCTTACACATATTTTAACACTTAATCAGTTCCCGCGGAATATTTTGCCAGTTTGAATAGCTGTATATCCAGTGCCGTAGCAAGCTCGATATTTTTTTTTGGGGGGGGGGTGCTGATATTCATATTTTCGTGTTCA